CATCCGAAAGGCGTATGAACCGTTCTAACGGTCACCGGATACCAACAATTCTACCCTGTTACCCTGCAGGTTGCACCTGGTTGTTTAAGGATTAGAGGTGCACCCTCGACCAAAAGCCAAGCGACACTGGGCACGACACCAAGTACCTCGTTTCCAAGTTTCTTCATGGATCGTCTTACAATGGTACACCACGTTCATGCTACGGCGTTCCCGGGAAGCGACACGCCCTGCGCCCTCCCAGTGGCTGCAGTGACAAATGAGCAAGCTGGGAACCTAAACCATCTATGCTCCAGATCCAGTATCCACATAGCCTGCTGGAACGTTAGAACATTGCTAGACACAGGAAGCCAGTGTATCACGATGCGATCACTGCACGACTACAGGGTAGACATCTGTCCGAAGTCCAACTACCTAACTGTGGCACAAAACTAATCAACGTACCACATAGCAACGCAACCTACCGGTTATACCACAACAGTCCAACTGACAACTCCGGCCTGTACCGGGTAGCAATTGCCGTGAGCGGCCAGACCAACAATGTCATGGTCCCCTGGGAACTAATCTCTCCCAGGATTGTCATAGTGCGCTTCAGGGAAAAGACGCTTACCCTTACTGTCATCGCTGTATATGCTCCAACGTTAAATGCAGAAGACCCCATCAAAACCGACTTCTAAAACCAAGTTCAAGACGCGATATCCTTGTTATCGCATGAGACCGGAATGCACGCACTGGTCCAGACGAACATACTCGGCATGTTCTGGGAAAGTTCGGCCTTGGTCAACGTTGCGAAAATGGCGAACGCCCAGTCACATTTGCTGAATTTAACCGGCTGGTCGTGGCTAACACTCGTTTCCAGCACCCCAGAAAACACCTGCTCACGTGGTACTCAAATGACGGTCGAACGGAACACCAGATTGATCATATTTTGGTACGTTCTCACCAAGTCTCTTCGGTAGAAGGCTGCCGTTCCTATCGCGGCGCAGAAACTGGGACGGTACAGATCACACCCTTGTACGCGCCCATCTGACTACTCGCCGGAAGACTCGTCTCCCGGGCAAATTCAACGTCGCGCTCTTGCAACCTGAGAGAAGGCAGGCGCTGCTGGACGCAACCGCTTCCAACAAAAAAGGGTGACAGATCTAGATGCGAAAATTACAGGGATAATAACCTGATTGATATTGCGACCAAATTGTTTGCAGTGATACCGCTTAACTGCTTCGCAGTCGTCAGAGATACCCACACTCACCCGAACATAGGGGGGTTTTGCCGCGGAAGAGGCTGTGTTGAACAAATCTTCACTCTGTAGAATTCTGGAACATCGCTTCAAGTTCAAACAGCCTACCACTGTATGTTTCATTGACTTCCGCGCTGCGTTTGACTCTGTCAACAGAGAATCCTTGTGGTGCATACTGCGGTTCGACGGGATGCCTGAGAAGTACATCAAGCTTTCAAAGTCATACTACTCAGGAACCCGGGTACGCGTCCGTACCTATGGAGAAGAATCGGCTGAGTTTACCTTAAGCTCTGGAGTTAGGCAAGGTTGTCCCCCATCGTCGGTGTTATTCAATTACACCATAGATTGAATAAGGCGACAAGCACTCTTCGACTACACTGGAGTACAGTTTCGCCCGGGTACATGGATTGCGGACCTCGAGTTTGCGGATGATGTCGTTGTACTTGGAGACAGCATGGACAACCTTCAGCCTGTTGTCAGTTGTATAAATCAGTTTGCCCAGTTCATTGGACTAGAGATCAACAGGTGGAAAACAAAGACAACTTCGAACTAAATTTCTACCATGACACGATTAACGACGAGCTTGTTGAATCAACCGAAGTTTTCAAGTATTTTAGATCTACGATATGACCAAACGCCAGGATAAGGATGAAATCCAACTCCGTGTAGATGGAGCTAGAAGAGCCTTCCTACAACCCCTCAAACCGTTGTGGAATCGATGGGAAATAAGCTTAAACACTAAGTTTTGGGTTTATCAGGCTTCCATCCGCCCCATAATTAGCTATGGTTGTGAAACCTGGCCACTAAGAGTACAAGATACAAGGAAGTTTTTTATCCTGGTGTTTACACCGCAAACTGAAAGTAAATTGGAGAGATCGGATTCCCAATGATGAGGTTCGACGGCGCTACTTGAACATTGACAAGCTTTCAAAAAAGCTACAACGCCGGCGCTTTCAGTGGTTTGTCATGTACTCCGAAGGGCCAACCCTCAACTCTCGTGACGGGCTGTAGTTCCCGCACCGTACCGTGGACGGCGTAGCCGACTCGATGGTTAACTGAAGACCTGCAGTAGTACGATCAAGGCGGATTTGGAATTGCTGGGTTCCTCACTGCGTCAACCTCGCTACCGATCGTCACGCATGGGCCGCCATCATCAGAGACATCCAGGAAACCGACTAATCCTCCCGCAGGAGTTAGTCGATCAAAAGTAAAAGTAGTAAGATGAGGTCACCTCGGCTGGTGGTGAAACATTTACAAACAAATTGCCAAGCTCGGCGAACAGGCGAAATGGAATATACGCATTTTATTGTGAAGTTGACATCAAAAGTAGTATGCTTCATAGCAGCACTAAGCAAAACCTTGCTCTCGAACACCTAATGAACGCTTGTTTCACTGGCTTAAATTCAATTCGATTCATTCGCAGGATTTGGTTGCATGCAAAAGGTATCCAAGGAAGTACATTAAGGGAGTCGTTTTTGCTCCCAACGATCCAGTCGTATCGATCACAAGTGACTGAGGCAGCTCAGGAGCCAGTGCACAACCCCGGCATGGCGCTGTTAAGGTTCTGGAGATCGAATAGTACACATTCATTCACAGAAACCACAAGAGTGAAGGCTTCGAACGAAATCAGATCGGTACTTCTCACGGCAAATCAATTTGGCTATATGAACAATTTTATCGTATACGAAAAAGAAACTGAAAGTTAAGAGGCTCGAATTAATTGGGTTCCACTGGCAATCGCACTTCTTCGAATCGGGACCCAAAACGGAAGAATACTAGCCCCTTGATTACCAGGCAGCTCAGCAAATTGTTACACTTTATCTATGTATGATAAGATACAACTCATGTTTGAAGCCCGCTCATCTCATTAATGGTCTCCAAGACTATGAATCTGCGGGAAACATTCCAAACCTAACTACATAAAAGAATCAACAAGGTCAAAAACCACCTGAAATCTACAGATAATGTATGTCCCGCTCTATACACTACTACAGTGAACATGTAAGTTAATTTCATTACACAACATAATGAAAACCAGAGTAATGAGGATAAATTGTTCGGTTATGGGAACCGGTACCCTTATCGTAACCTTGAACTGAAGCATCCCCTTGGAAATGAATGTGTAGATGCGACACATCACTAGCAGTGACGGAAGAGCATTGCAAAACAGTACTGGTGTATAGCAAGCTACTAAGGGTCAGCACAGGTAGTAAACCTATACGATTAAGTTATGTTCGGGCCCCAATCCTGATGGTTTCGGTGCACGACTCAGCAGGGATGAAACAACCATAAATCCTTATCGATAATCAACGGCTTAACTCAACGTGATTTATTGGATATATACAGAATGAAAAAGCAAGGTATCTGATGTTTACACAATGAAAGAGTTCGCACAAAAACCAACATTTCAACGCACGTGTTCGGATAAAGAAAGACGATCCACGGATGCTCCCCGATCAGTGTTTGTCAAAACAGAATAAGCGAGTGTTTCCTCGGTGAAACTGAAGTTTAATTCTTCTTGAGCAGTTGAAGTGCTGTCTGTGTGAGGCAAGGCACTGGTAGATACCGCTGAAAGACAAGAATGCAGGGGTGTGACTTTACAAGTTGACTAGAGGGTCCTATGAACAAAAATGTAAATAACTGGCTAAGTTAGTGAATAGAACGATGGAAAAAGAACGAAGGGGAAGCGCAGCGTTTGCGTGGCAATTTGCGTGCTTAAACCTGGTGACAGGAAGAAATATTTTACACATTGAACACTAATCTTCACAGATATGGCACCTAGGGTTTACCGCAAAATAAAGGAACAGAAGTGTTGAAAACAAAAACAGTAAACTTGGAGAATAACAATTTTTTGTTCGTTTACTGAGCGTTATTTCAAGTTTTCTGTTTGTTTATTTTTGGGGATCACACACAGAAAAGGATGAATTCACGCCACGGACATCGGTTCCATGCCATATTCCGTAGTATCTCAGGCCAACGACAATCTGAATCTTTGGGGCCCCATCCGGGGAGCTGGGAAGCCCCAAAGGAAGCCAGATCCGAGGACAATCTCTTTAACCCTCTGCGCTACCTCATACTTGCCCACCTTGCTATTGCTTCCAGCCCGGACCAATGTCTGCGAATGGTGCAAGGTGTGGCAGACCTTGCTCAGACATTCGTAGGACGTGCCCTAGTCACCTAAGATGATGCAGTGAAATTATATATATATAGATATATATATATATATATATATTACACATTTAAGTGTGATGAACAGCAGACGGGGCGAGCCCCATAATCACGAGGATCTGCAGTTCAGTGGTATAAACCCGTTTCCTAAGCCCCGGGACTTGAAGTGGCGAACCACATAAGCTCCGCTAGGTTAGGCGAGGTATTGAGC